GCGCGAGTCGTGTGCTGCCGGTAACCACGGGCCAAGCATCGTTGCTGACTGCGTTGATCGGCTTTGATGCAGATAGAGTGCAGGGCAGCGCATCTCAAGACATCGTGTGATAGGCGGCGTGCAGCAGTCTTTGTCATGTGGCCCTACACACTGCAGATTCGATAAAGATGCGTACGATCTGGACCGACGGATGCCAAAGAAAAGCAACACCAAGCACCGTGATAGGAACGGGTTCAAAAGGCTTCGGGACTCGGGCATCACAGCAGCTGGCACGGCCGTTGATAAGTAAGTATAACGGCAGTTCTCTCGGGCAATTGTCGGCATGCTATCTCTACCAAAAACGTTGAGGCTCGCGCATCTGTGGCGTAGAATAGGCGACATTCAACCTCCCCCGGGCCAGTCAACGTCATCGCCAAGTGACCAAGCACTTTAGTTTCGCTGAACGGCCATCACGTTATAGCCGTTGTGTCGTCCGCTCGTCGTGCCCGTCAAGCTGAATTGCCACAACAAAACTTTTGGCAATACGCAATTACCAGGCGCCCATCGAGCAGCACCGCATTGCTTGTTCCATCCGCGCGCACCAAGACCAAGGTGAGCGTGAAGGATCGTTGATACCCGACCGCCAGGCGCGCGCCATCCAAGCTTTCGGCTGGCACTGCCGAGACTAACACTGTGTCTGTAGGCCTTGGGCTTGAGATTTCTTGATTTCGGTCCAAGACTTTTTTGCTCTGACCCGTCAAAACAATAGCCACGCCTTTTGTCGCTTTCCCCCAAGGCCGACTTGCGCTGCGTCCCCAGCCTCGTACCACCACGCCAAACGACACTCTCGACCCACCCCCATCAAAGGACCGGCGTCTGGGCGGATCCTCAAGTACATGCATTCGACTTTGGATCCATCTTTTTCCTACCTTGGCCGACCTTTTCGACAACGCGGCCCCAGCTCCTCGCTCCTCCCCACGTAACAAACCTTTTGCCCGCGCACCGCGCTCATACCTTCGCCGCTATACTCTCGGGTGAACACAACGAGAGACACTCAGAAAAAAAAGCAAGGCTAGTCGCGCTTCATCATGGCGTGGGACCACCTGTCCATCACCAAGCCGCATCTGGTGTACTTGATTCTCGGAGGCTTCACCAGCTTGTTTATGCTGTGCTCCTCTGTCATCAAGGAACGCCTGTACATTGGTGAAGCCACGGTCGCGACCATATGTGGCATCATATTCGGTCCGCACGCAGCCAATCTCATAGATCCCACGACTTGGGGTAATGTCGATTTGATCACTCTAGAGTTTTCGCGCGTCGTTCTCGTCGTGCAATGTTTTGCCGTTGGTGTTGAGTTGCCTCGCGCATATATGGAAAAGCACTGGAAGTCGGTAGTCCTGCTGCTCCTCCCAGTCATGACTTTTGGCTGGCTGATAACCAGTCTGTTCATCTGGGGCCTGTTCAGCTCCCACCTCAACTGGCTCGACAGTCTCTGCGTTGCTGCTTGCGTCACTGCCACCGACCCTGTCTTGGCATCGTCCGTTGTCGGTAAGGGCAAGTTTGCTAAACGAGTCCCAAAGCATTTGCGAGATTTGCTTTCTGCTGAGTCTGGCTGCAACGATGGCATGGCCTTTCCCTTCGTTTACCTGGCCATTTACCTTATCCATTACCGCCCCGACGCCAGCAAGGTTGCGTACCACTGGTTCTGCTACACAGTCCTCTACGAGTGCATCTTTGGTGCTTTCTATGGCGTTGTGATTGGCTACATTGCAAGACGTGCTATTAGATACGCTCACGAGCGCGACCTCATCGATCGAGAGAGTTTCCTCGTCTTCTACTTTGTGCTCGCACTTTTCTGCGCTGGCTCAGGTTCGCTCTTGGGCATGGATGACTTGCTCGTAGGATTTGCTTGCGGTGTAGGCTTTTCCAACGATGGATGGTTTTTGGAGAAGACGGAAGAGTCACATGTTTCCAATGTCATTGACTTGCTCATAAACTTGGCTTTCTTTGTCTACTTCGGTTCCATCATTCCCTGGGAGCAGTTCAACTCCGACATCATCGGACTGTCACCCTGGCGTTTGGTTGTGCTCGGCATTTTGGTACTCTTCTTCCGCCGTATCCCAATCATGCTGATGCTTAAACCCGTCATTCCGGATCTCAAGACATGGCGAGAGGCATCTTTTGCTGGACATTTTGGACCCATTGGTGTCGGTGGTTTGTTCGTTGCTATCCTTGCGCGAGCCGAGCTTGAGACCAGTACCACGACGCCGTTGGCTGAACTACCTGAACCTGGTTTCGAGCATCTAAACATAATCGAGATGATATGGCCCATTACCTGTTTCTTGGTTATTGTCAGTATCGTTGTTCACGGCAGTTCGATTGCTGTCTTCACCCTCGGCAAACGTATCAACACCCTCACGATATCAATGTCGTACACACAGGGTAACGAAAATGGGCCTGGCTGGATGGACCGCCTTCCCCGTATTCAATCGCGTTCGAGATCTTCCATGGCACGCCGCCCCTCCGAGTCGTCCTTTGACGAAAAGTCCGACTTTGCAGCTGCGACCGGCTTTGGTGGCTCATTCTTACGTCGCCAGAGGGAGGAAGACAACCCAAGTCGCTCAAACTCTGTTAAGCCTACGGGTCGAGGCAGGCGCTGGGATGCTGGTCATGGACCTGGCGGTCCCATTGCTCAATCTGCTATTACGCCCAACAGGCGTGATGAAGACAGGGTAGAGGCGATACCACCAGAGCAAGATACAGACACGTTTGCCGATGCCATGGCCATTTCTAGTTCCAGTTCGTCGAGCGGAAAGGAGAAGATGAAGATGCGACAACCTGAGGAAGAAATTTATCAGGAAGGCCATCAGACCGTCTTCGAAGACAAGGAAGGAAATGTTTTGGGTGTGAGGGACAGCCACGGCGAACATGGACAAGTGCGAAGGGAACACGATATCCAGAGAGGGCAAGACTTGATTACTCAGGCCGAGGTTCAGCAGGGCATTTCTCAGAAAGAGCATGGTAGCGGACTTGAAGAAGCCCCAAGTAAGATTGAGAACGCTATCGAGCACCCTCACAAGACATGGCGCAACCGTATGCAAAGTTTCTCAGGACGTATGCACAAAGACGGCAAGCAAGCAGATCATTCGAAGGCCGATAAGCCAGCGCACAAGCCTGGGCCCGCTCTCGCGTATCAATACGGTAACACCATCATTGTTGAAGACGAAGACGGCGAGGTCTTGAAAAAGTACGATATTCCAGCTGCGCCAAAGAAGGGCAAGGATGGTCGGCCTGTGAACACCCGTGGCCAGTCTATGGCAGAATCTTCAAGTCGCGCCGTGCAGAGTTTGAAGCGCATGGGAACTCACATGGGCGTTCCAAACACTCATCATGCTGGCCCTGAGGGTTCTCAAGCTGCGAATGACAAGAAGAAGAAGGCAGCTGAAGCAGCTGCTAAGGAGCAGCAAGATGACGATTTGATCCGATTCACTGTCACCGCTGGCGGACGTCGCATGAGCAAGTTGGAATTCATTCAACAAATGGCACAAATGAACCCCAAAGACAGGGCCAAGTTCGTGCAAAACAGCGACGTTCCCGAGGCTGTCAAGGATGCTGCACACAAGGACGCACAGGAGCACACTGCTGAGCAGCGCCGCCAAGCAGCCTCTAAGCAAGCAAACATTCCTCCTGTTGTAGGCAAAGAGGGTGAGGCCGAGCTCCACAAGATCGAGTCTCCTGCAGCAGATGAAGCGGGAAATGCGCGGGGTCCAGAGGGCTTAACATTGGTTGACAGCAACGACGAACAGGTTCCTTTCCACTCTGTACGTCAGGATCTAGAAAACTACTCCTACGGTCAAAGCGGCGAGACAGCAGCAGAGCGTCGAAGACGGCAAGCAGCAGAACAATCCTCAAGCCAAGGACCCAAGGACGCCGCAACCCCTACGCCTACAACACAGCAGCCCCTCAAGGAAGAAGCCGAAGAAGGAGAAACCTTCGAAGGCGAAACAGCCGCAGAGCGCAAGCGCCGTCTCGGTGCCCTGGGCGTAGCCAAAGACGACACCCCCGAATCCGACTCCGAAGACGAAGAAACCGGCGACCCCCTAGAAACCGGCCGCGGCACCCACTCGCGCGCTGCCGCCGAACCCAGCAGCCAAAAGACGTTCTCGCCCGCTCCCCGTACCCCCGGTATCCGTTTTGCAGACCAACCCCGCGTGCCTACAAAGGACGAGCGCGTAGCCGAGGAAGCCCGCGAAAAGGAAGAAAGTGAGCGTGAGAAGAAGAATAATAAACGTAAGAGTGGGTTGAGTAATTTGATTGGGAGGAAGTAAAAGACATGGGAGGGGAGCCATGATGATATGACCTAATATGCTATGCTGTGTTGTTGTTGCATGGAAAGATGAAGAAATGACATTTTCGATCTTCTTCTTTTTTTTCTCTCTCTCTCTCTCTTTTTTGGATATGTATACGCATGTGTATATGTTTGATCCAGGTTTAAGTATAATAGATGGTGTTGCTCGTCTTTTTCCATCACGCTTCGGGCGTGTGTTTATGGCGTTTTTTTTCTTTTCTTCATTTCGTACGAGGCAAAGAAAAAGTAGATGGAAGCGTTTGACGTTTCTTGTTTTTTTTTACTTTCAAGACAAGACCTAGGTGTGGGAAGCGGGTTGGGGGGTTGGGGTGGGGTAGGAAAAGAGGGTAAAAGAGGTATGGAAATAAGAGAAGATAACTTTGTAAACAACTCAGAAGGGACTCATCGTCACGAATTTTTTGTTTTGGTGGGCCATTGCATACTTGAAGTGATTTTATGGCATTATTCCCCATTCTCTCCATGAACAGCTCGACACGCAAAGGTGCCGTGCAACAAATATCAAACTGTCAGACCAGAAAATTCATCATTTTCTGGGTCGTGAACAAGTTACATGAAAATCTGTCGAATGCCCCAGAATCTCTCTCTCTCTCTCTCTCTCTCTCTCTCCCTTGCCTTTGATCTGCTTTTCAATAGCAGTTTGGGTACGACAAGCCTACTTGTCGGAATCAGGAGTCATACCCTGAGTAGATCCCTCACCCTCAGTAGGAGCCTTGCCCTTGCTCTTGCCCTTGTCCTTGGCAGACTCCTTGTTCTCAGCCTCAGACGCCTTGTCATCAGCAGCAGGAGCCTTGCCCTTGCCCTTGCCCTTGCCCTTGTCCTTGTCCTCGGTAGACTCCTTCTTGTTGGCAGCAGACATCATGCCCTCGGGCTCACACGGCATACCTTCAGCAACAGGAGGCAAATACCGACCCAGAGAAGCTATATAATGCGACCTCTTAATCGGGCACGTGATGCGCTCACCAGGCTTGAAATCATACACGATATCAAACGGCTTTGGGTTGGCAAGTGCAGCAATAGCCTCAGCAGGGGTGAACATGATGGCCATGTGGTCCAACTGTGCCTTTCGCTTGATTTCCTTTTCGGACATCTTCTTCTTCTTCTCGACTACTACCTCTTTGCCCTTGCCTTTGGGGTCAGGGTTGGACTTTGCGTGCATGCCGCCAATGACGTCCTTGTCTTCATCGGACTCTAGCGTTAGGTCAATCATTTGATACACTGGCCTCAGGGAGAATTTTATAGGGGGTTCGGTACTGGTTGCTCGGCTGCCCGATGACACGGTGGGTGGCACCTCTTCATCCGACATGGTGAGGTCAATAGTCTCCTTGGGCTGGGCCGGAGCCTTCAGCGTCTGGGACGATGGCTGTGGCTGTGGCTGTGGAGTCAGCGTGCTAACTTCTGAGTGAGACCGCTTCTTTCCCCTGCGAGGGGCAGAGACAGAAGGGCCGGAGCTCATGTTTGAATGCGTGTTTGACTGGACGAGGTTTGAGGTATGGCGAGACTGCGGCGTAGAGGGTTGTTGGTTGTCAAGCAGAGAAGGCGGGGCAGAAGAAATATTCAAGTTATCTACTGTGGGCGATGAGTGGTGAATGGTGAATGTGCTGCCTGAGCCACCTGCAAACGCTCGAGTGAAAGACACCTGAGGTAGTGACCCCTAGTACACGACTGGACTACCATGTTGACGTTCTTCAGGGCCGCCTCCGTTTGCCTTTTTGCTTCCCTTTTTGAGACTTGGACGTCTCTGGCTGTGATGGTTCATGTGCGGAAGGCTGTTGGGGAGCTTGCTGTGCAGCTTTCTTTGCCTTTGACCCTCGTTGTCGGCCCTGAGGGCCAGGTTTTGGCGGCGAGAGACGTGCTTGACCCGGTCTGTGGTACTCAAAAGCCTCCAGCAAGCCAGGATGCATGTCTGTATATCTATATAGCTGACCCCCAATAGTACGCAGATACTTGTCGTCAACCTCGATGAATCGCTTGCCGCTATTTACCCCCCAGTTGAAGATATAGTCACGTGCAGGATTATGTGCCTCGAGATCGGTTCTTATGACTTTGCCTACAATAGCAGGTTCCTCGCTTGTGGCGCTGCTCACTGTCGGCGGACGAGAGGCTGCGGAGGATGCAAGAGATATGTATGCGCCAGAGTCTGGGGTAGTATCTTCCAGAAAGAGGCCGTAACGGGTACGGAGCGTCAGTACGCTGAGCGGGAACTGGGACAAGTACATTTCCTTGTAGATAGCGACCGCAGCAGGTACCGTGAACATGACTGTTGCCCTGGGGGTTTTCCTCCTGCCATGTGTGGGCAAAGATTCCTCGATATTGATTGATATGTCTTGGGTATCCTCCAAATCCTCGTCATCGTCGAGTATGTCCGAGTCTGTCAAGCTGTCATAGTCGCTATGGCTGTCGCTCGGTTGGGTATGTCTTTCGTCTATGCTGTCCATATCATAGTCTGGCCTGGCCCGGTACAGCGCCTCGAAATTGTTGCCGCTGCCGCTCAGAGGTATAAAATCTTGCTCTTCTTGATCCCCATTGTTCTTTCTGCCATGTGCGAACCGACCGCCGCCATTATGTTGTTGGCCGCCGCGCCCTCGTCCCCTTCCTCCGCGTGCTCCTCCGCGCTCTGCTTTCCTCGCGTTGTGTATGGCTTTTTGGCGCGCTTTGTGTCGGATTGGGGGCGGCCCTTGTGGCTTTGTGGATTTGGACTTTCGATTCTCAGCTGCAGTGGCGCGCCGTCTCTGGCATGGGCGCGGCATGGCGGCAGCGAGGGTTTGGGTGCGAATTGGTGGTTGCAGTTGTGCGATAGACCTCAGACTTTATGACGCTCGGCCCCTCCCAAAATGGGATTCTGAGATTACTCGCTTTGTCCCTGGCGCACATCCAGGCAAAGCGCGACCATATTGCGAACTTCACCCATGGTAATAATTTTACATTGAAAGAATTTTTCCGATAGGTGTCAATTTATTGAAATTTTTGTTTGGTAGTACCTGTAGATCTGGCGGTTACTCTAGACCATTTCTTGTGCTATTACTTTACTCTCTACCTTTACTAGTTTTAAATGCATCCATCATGCATAATGCGCTATCCCAATGCCTTACCAGAGGACATGGGGACCCTTAGGTCGCTGCTGGCCCTCTAATTCAGAGAATGGTAAGAATCAACAACTGCCACGTACACACAACTTGATTGCACGTGGAACAAGCAACTCCTTCTATCTGGAACATAAACACCACGAGAGTCTTATGCACTCAGCTATGTTAATTCACAAAGCAGTCTGCCTCGCCTACCGTCTAAGCCGCACCTCTAGTACTCTTCTCGGGGCCTTTCATTTCGCCATCCCAGCACTCCCAAGACACTCATCTTCCTGCCAGTCCCACCCAAGCCCGCGCCGCACTTGTCCAAATTTTCTGAATCCTATGCGAACATAGGAAACCTCCCCACTTAATGTCGTTCCGTGCGGCTCTGCGACCCTTTTCATTGCACAGAGCAGGCAAGGCAGACCCATTTATTTAGCGCCCGCATGTATTTTACCCGATACCCGCGCCGCAACCCCGCATGTTGCAGCCGCCGCACAACCGCATTAGGTGAGGTAAGGAAGTGATCCGAGTGATAGGAATAGGGCCTTGATGAGATGATCAATCCTGTTGCTGGGGTTAGGGGCGCGAAGAAATGCGGCGCGGTTGGGGGTTGAAAAGGTTAAGATGGGTGCTGAAGGAGCGAAGGAGGAAAAGGTACTTGCTACTTGCTTTACTACCAGTTACACACCATCATCTATCACTATTGCTTGGTTCGCATTCACGCCTTACTCCAAGCTTCATATTTATTTACTTTATCTTCTATTAAGACGACCTTCTACCTCTCGCCCTTGGATATCAACAAACTACCCATATCATCACCACCACAAGCATCCTAACACCATGCACACCACCACCCTCCTCACCATCTTCCTCACAACCCTCACAACCCTCACAACCGCCCACCTCCTCCCACCCCAACCCCCACACCCCTACATTCTTCCTCGCACCGCACCTACCTCATCAACCCAAGACCAATGCACCTTCACCCTCTACCACAAACAAATCTCCATCAACCCCCGCAAAAACTACATCTACCTCCCCACCCTCATCGACCATGCGAACAACCTCGCCATCGATATCGCAGCTGCGAAACCAGTGCAGGAACGTAATTCGTACACGAGGCTGTCGGCGACGCGGAAGTATGCTGTTGAGGGGTTGTTGGGGGGCGAGGCATTGACGATAAGTGCGTTGGATGATGGTGATGAGCTGGTTTTTGAGAAGGGGGTGTTGAGGTGGGAGGCTCGGGGGAAGGAGGAAGAGAAGATTGAGGGAGAGGCGGGATGTCGGGTAGGAGAGTGGGTGGAGAGTGGGTCAGTTAATAGGGTAAGTTTTTTTTTCTGATTTTGTTGTTCATGATGATGGGTTTGGGTAGGAGAGTCAGCTAATATGGTGCATAGGAACGAAAGCTTGAGTGTGCGTTTCCTTGCGGGAAGATTGAAGAGGAGAGGGAGAGGGAGAGGGAGGAGTTGAAGTAGGAAAGGGCAAGTGCGAATGGAGAACTGAAGGCTCAGTGTCACCAGCTGGGATATGAGTGCGTGGTTGTAATTGTAATATATAACATTGTAAACATCGCAGAAAAGCGATGAGAAGGTTCTATTCTATCCTTAATTGTTCCAAAAGAAAAATACCCATAGGCATTTCGCCTAACCCCATTTACCAAAGAAAATCCATTCGTAAACCCATTCATCTATTCCCAAAAGTCCAAACACCCCTCTCCTGCCCAATCCACGGCACCGCCTTCTTCTCCTCACACACAATCCTCTCTCCACACTTCCCACAAACTCCCTTTGCACAACTACACCTCTCATCTACCACCTCCATCTCCTCCTCCTCCTCAACCGGCCTCATCATCTGCCCCTCCAACCACGCCGCAAACTCCGCCTGCGCACACCCCGTCACCCTTGCAACCCTAACCCCCCTGATCCCAGCAAAAAGCCGTAGAACCGAATCGTCACACCCATCAAACATACTCTGCCACGCATGAATCTCGAGATACTCCGCCCCGCTAAATGCAGCTGTCGCCTGCTTCTCTGTAAACCGTGGGTCGGTATCCAGACGCACGGATAGGTACCAGCGTCGGATCTTGGCGATTGCAGAGGCGTCGAGGAGGGGTTTCCATGGCGAGACGAGGTGAGGGAGGGATGTTAGGAGGGAAGGGTGGGCTTGGAAGACGTGGGTTGAGTAGAGGAGGTCCTGGGCTTCGTTGTGGATTCGTTTGCAGGTGGCCAGGATGGCTGGGTAGATGGGTTGGGGTGCGTGACTGCGCTGTTGGGAGTAGGCGACTAGGGAGTTGCGGTTGGGGGTATTGGCGCAGAGAAGGTAGTCGTAGATTTGGTTGCGGAGTTCGGCGGGGAGAAGGAAGAAGATTGATTGTTTTTGTGAGGCTGTCGGGAGCCGTTTTGAGGGTGTGGTAGGGTGGTGTGTTTGCTCTCCTGCTGGTGATGTGTGCAGGGGAAATGTGGTTGTTGTTGATATGGCGTTATCGCTCATGTGGTTGTTGGACACGTTGAAGTGCGCGGCAAAGTAATATGCCATTGCCATGTTGTCGTTCAGTGCCTTCTCTTGTTGTTGGTTTATTGAGATTGTTGTTCGTTTCTCAATACAGTAGTTGAAATGTTCTCTTCGAATTGTTCGTCTCAATTCGTAATCGTGGTGGTTGTAAATCGAGTGATGCCCTTCCCTATCAGATGTGTAGGTGGGCAAATAGTTGTTCGTATGTCTGACTGTAACGTCTTATGGTTGCTGATGAGTTAAATCATGCCACTGGCAGCAGCCCTAGCTGCCTTATAACTAGAGACTCTGGAAAAAGCTAGAGCCGCAATCACGTTGTTGGGGCAGGTGAACGCGACTCACCGACGTGTGGTCTCACCACGGAATCATCCGCGCCAGCGATAAGAACGTCGGGGCGGAACGGATCGCCCACCAGGATGCGTGAAGGTCGCGCCACCAAGGCTGAGCTGAGCGGTCACTCCACCACCCCTTGTTACATGCACTGTCTTTACCTCACAACCAGCGCAGCATGGTGCGTCACAATTACCTTTTAGAGCATGCCAGTAACTTCAAAATTATTGTCTGATGTGTGACAGCGCTGCTCGTTTGAACTGCCAGTCTCGATAGTACTACTAGTAGCCGGTGCTTGATCGACATGCGGGGTCGCTCGCCGTTCGCCCCAACTTCCCTTCTCGGGCTCATAGTTAAGAGCTTGCTTCTTTTCATCAATAGCAAGTTCACCTAGAATGAAATTGTGGTTGCTGAATACAACTCAATTCATGGTTTCGAAATGTGCAGTATGGTGGTGTGATCCGCAGCTGATGATCAACTACATAGGTACGCACGGTGCAGTGGCCCAACAAGAAGCATGTTTCTCGCATTTTACTCGGACTTGAGCAACTTGTTCAACGTTGCAACTACTCCAATCCTTGTCACTCCCTGCTACCTCCCGATATATCTGTTATACAATAGGCATCTCTCATAAGTCGTTACATGTTATAATTCGCCGAATTAACGTGTCCGAACGGATATCTGGCGAAATGGGCCTCGATCTTCCATATCATCCACCGCATAACCAGACCCATGGTTCTTATTCGGTTCCAACTCTGCATCTCAGAAAATGCCCATAATACCGACACCGACCATAGCAGCGACGCCCTTGGCCCAGCCCGAGTCTTGTGTAGGGGCAGCAGCTACCACCTCTACAACTGTCTGAGTCTGTCCAGTCTTGCCTGTCAAAGTCCCCATGCCAATCTCTCCTCTGCCCGGAGCTGGAGCCACGGATCTTTGCGGCTTGAAATCAAGAGAAATAGTGTGGGGCCACCAGGTCGAATAGGTACCGCCGATGAATGTCTCCACCCACTGTACAGTGACGAAGGGCACATTGCCAAATGACGTTGTTGCATGTGTAACACTGGAACTCTCCATACTAGATGAAGCTGAAGAAGTAGGCGCGGGTGCGGGCGGAACAGGATTGACAGCATGGTTGGCAATTGAAGGTGGGGGCACTACATCAGCAGGCTCCACCCGGGCTACAGACGCATCTCCGAGAGAACTCCCTGCTGTCGTGTTGACTGGGACTATGATAGCTGGTTCGACTGTTGGAGTGCTTGCAAATGGCAGTGTTGGAACGCCGACTACTAGTCCCTGGGCAGGCGCGTCCTCGGCTGAAGCAACAGCAGGTGCTTGGTAAATCCTATACTGTGTGAGCCGGTTTCAAAAGTCAGTGTGTGAGTACGGAGCTACCCAGAGCTGTATAGTTCGGCTGTCAGAGTCACTGCTGGAAGAGGGGTGTATGTCGGACTTGCTCCTGCCATGGGTGTAGTCTCCGCATCTCGCAGATGCCCAGACACCGGAAGGAGCGTGCATGCAATCAAAACCAGCAGCAGAAGTATTGAGGTGATATGACCTTGCATCTTGGTTCGAGATAGAGAGGTGCAAGATAGCTGTAAATGCTTTCCGTAATGATCTTTAGGGGTGTCGTGTGTAGAGGCTCAAGACTCGAGCGGAGTCCCTACTTCATCAAAGGCGCCGTTGCAGAAGCAAGCTGTAAGTGAAGACGTATTGTTGAGAAGTGAAGTTTTGATAAGTCTTTTGGTGAGACCAGATTCCAGTCGACCCCTAATGGCCAGCCTTGTGAAACGCCACACCCGTGTTTGGAGTAGCACAAGTCGTAGAAAAGAAAGATGAGGTGCAACGAGAGACGAGATAAGAAAGTGAGTGAGCCAAAAAGCCAAAGCCAAGACGAAAGTGGGGTTGAAGGGAAACCGAAGTGAAGTGATTGTGAGACTGTAGAGATTCAAGGTGTTACAAAGGGTTACGTGCGGTGGTGGTACTGATGGCAAAGCCTGGCAAACGGAAGTGACGGTGCTGTAGACCATTGGGGGAAGCGACAGTGCATGCTACAACGGTTGAGAGTCAGTATCGAATGTGGCATCGTAACTTCCTACATTCACTCTGGAAACCATATCCCTTGGTAACTGATTGCATCATGTTATTGTTCGGTATTTTGCCGTCAGACGAGGTCCCAGTCTTGAGGTGACTCGCCGTGGAGGAGAAGAGCAGACGGCAACCTGCCAACGTGGTCTCTATCCACAATCCCACCCTTGATGTTGAGATAAGAAGAGGTGTTGTTGGTGTGATGTCACCGATTTGTAGAGATCATAATACAATTTTCACATCTCAGCCCTCTGCTCGCCCGCGAAGCCAGCCTATCCTTATACATTTCCTACCATATGGCGCGTGTAGATCCTGTGGACGTGAAGTTAGTTTGTCTGATAAGTTACAGGTTTACTCTTCTAGATAATTGATGCATGTACGTGTGGTATAAAGAGAAACAATGACCCCAGTCCAGATCAACAGCACCCTCACCTCAATGTCAAGCCTGAAAATTAAGCCTTTCCCTCCCCACTCTGTCACCCCTAAATAAGTCAAGCCTATATCTTGGCAAAAGCTTAGCGTACCACCAAATTCGGCAACTGGGCGCGTTGAGCCAGCGCTTGGGAAAAAAGCAAAAGATAATAGAATGGAGTACTGGGCCAGAACCCTCTTTCTGTTTCTGTGCAAAGGAGGCAATACAACAAAGTTTGTGCATTCCGCACTGACACGTTCCAGACCTTGTGTTGCGAAAACTCAGATAAAAAAGTCAAGAGTTAGGATAGTAGACTTCGAAAAGTGGTAAATGGTACGAGTCATCGTCGTCGTCGTCGCTCAGCTTTCAAGTAGCGCGAAAAAAAAGAGAGAGCGAGAAGTAAAAAAAAAGAAAAATCAAAGAAGTATGATCGGAATAACTCTCTCAGCACCAAAACAATGGAGTCATTCTCGTATTCTCCCTACAATCACGCGAATGGGAGTTTGTATACTACGCGAACGTCCACCTTTCCCCCCTCAAGCGCTATATCCGCGTCTTTCAAAGAAATAAGCGAATAAAGTGCGCGCGCGCGCAAGAAAAAAAGAAAGAAAAAGCCACGCCATCCGGCTTTCTTCGGTGCACACGCGAGAGAGAAAAGAATGCAAGCGTGCACATAGTCTTCTTGCTCGGCAAACCCTAGTTCACACCCACACGCCCCCTCCCCCCCCCGCTCTCTCTCTCTTTCGGTACGCGAGAACAACCAAAAAAAAATAGAAACCATATATATATATAGTTAGGGAAGGGGAGAAAATAAAGAAAATGGTGCACTCCGGATATAGTTAACCCAAGGAATGGCATTGACCATACACACACACACACACACACACACACACACACACACGCGCGCGCACGCAAACATCACGCACCCGCACCCCCCCCGTCCCATATCCGCGCTTCCCGTGTATATATGTGTGTGTGCGTGGCTATACTCGGGATTTTTTTTTAATTCGCGGCAAGACTAGGAGAAAGTGGTCTTTTTGGGTAAAAAGTCGGGGGGGATGGGCGAAAGATGGGAGAGAAGTTCCGCGGGATTTTATATACTATGTGTATATATATAGAAATATAAATAGGATAGCAACACGAGATGAAGAATCCACAATCGTCGCAGACGTATATGTACATGGCGCGTTGGCTATTCGCAGGTCCAATCCCCCCCTCCCCCATCCATCCATCACAACAATGCTACCCACAGTCCCTTTCAAACGGGGCTTTTTTTTTTGTCTTCAGACGAATTGTGGGTTTGTTGTGCCTGGGCTTCTAAAAAGCGCAAGCCAGGCTGTCCTGTCCTGTCAGTTCCAGTCAGCCCGACATCTGTGCGTGCGCCTTTGGAGCTACTAGCGTCAGCCATGCCCGGGTTCCGTCATGTGCCGGGCTCACTAGGCGTACGACTCCAGGGGCCGTGCCTGCAAAAATAGGCGACATTGCGCGCTCCTTGTCGGCGCGTCATCAGTGTGTTTTTTGTTGTTGCTGTGCTGACGGGCCTAATTCATAGATCTTAAAGTAGTAAAAGCTAATGGATGGGCTGATCTGTCAGCCAGTACGTGCGGCCCAAAGGAGTGTCTTCGCTGTCGTATTCTTGAGCCTCAATCTATGCACCCAGGCCAAGTGGCTTGCGCGCTTCCGAATAGACGGCTGAAACTAGTTTTCTCGTGTATGTAAGGTACACACGAGAACGAAGAGACTAAACTCAGCTGGTGGTGTGCCGCGGATGCAAAAATGAAAGAGGCTGTTCAAAACATATTGATTTGGGCAGTGGCGTTGTTGGAGCAACACAAAGAATAGAAGTGACAAAGGTAATTGGTGGTAATGTTTGATTGTGCACAAATGACTAAGCTGGTATCTTCTAATGCCGATTCAGATGGGGAGTCCAGTCCAATACAAAATAGTAGCAAGACTAAAGACAATACGAGACCGAAATCATGTACCGGAAGCGCTGGTGGTGGTGTGTGTGGGGGGGCTGACACGCAGAATGTCTTCCGGTTCAGAATGGAAGCGACGCGGTACCATTCCAAGCAGTACGACAGGGGTAATAGTCCAAACTGCTTTGCCCGTGCTAAACAAAACAGCGCAAGCTTGGAGCCGACTGCAGAGGCCTGATTGCGGAGAACAAGGGTATATACAAGAAAAGAAAGCGTGCAAAGAAGCACATCTAAGGCCGTGCCAAGCTGTAAATATGTTGGAGAAGGAGTAATGTAAATAGAGCAATCAGAATTTGCGTATCGTCGCGCCCGAGTTAAAGATATATGTGCCTGAAGCTGGAATAGCCGGAAGTATGACAAAACGCCGTAAATGTCTGGGGAAGGTGATCGTATACTCATAAAACGAGTCCCGAGTCCATGACAAGCTCGCGGGACAAACGGCTGTCTTTGCGATGGATGGAAAGAAAAGCGAGAAAAGCAGACTTTTTTTTGGTGCAAAGTTTATAGCGGGTCTCGGACGACTACCATGCCATGGCTAAGCTGACCAAGGAGATGATTGATGGAATGACGATTGATGATAGCGGTGCGCCGAATATGCTGGTTGCTGCGTTCTTGTACGTTGTCTGTCCAGGTGTCATGTCGCCCTTTGGATCTGTCGAGAAGAAGTACGTCTTGGCCGCTTCGGCGCCTTGACTTGGGTCTGGTGCGCTCATTTGGTTGGGAATGGCACAGACCTTGGCCGGGTCGAAGGTAGGACAGCGCTTCTTGTACTCGTTTTGCGATCGCTCGGTGTCAGTTGAGTTGAAGTAGCCCTTGAGGTAGGAGATTGTCATAACAGTGTCTCGGTCGGGTGGTCCTGCAGACCATGATGGATCGCCATTGCTCCAGTGGTTGAAGAAGATGCTGCCGCCTTCCTGGGGAACGTTTTCGGTCATTCGGTGGAGGAGTTGGCCATCAACAAAAAACTCGACACTTCCCAGGGTCCAGTCAAAGCGGTACTCGTGGAACTTTTCGTCTGGGCGGAATGGAAGTTGCTTGACTACGAAGCCGTTTGTTCCCTGGGCAGCAAAGCCGTTGGAGACGGATTGGGGGCTTTGGAGAACCAGGTTTACGGCGCCTTGAGATTGGTTGAACTGATGCGAGAGGAATTCCATGTCGATTTCTTGCGAGTTGTTATGGTACTGCGACTATTAGCCAGGGGACATGGTTTGTTGAGGCGCGTCATGACGACGTACAAAGAAGAATGCACCGCAAGTTCCAGACGAGTTGGACAACTTCATGCCCACACGGAAACTACCGAGTAGCGAGTCGTTGCGTATGCTAACAATCTCGGCACCGCTCACGAGGCCGTCTGCGTGGTTGCCGCGAACCCATAGCTCGAGTCCGGCATCTCCGCCGTGCTCGGCATCTCCCGCCCATGCCTTGTCGTCCTTGAGAGGGTTGGAAAGAACATTGCCTACTTCCATGGCCTTGCCAAAGGGGCCGCGGGCGTTTTGCGCAGTCATGTTGTACTCCTGCGGTCTCCATCCTACGGTGGAGAAGTCGTCGGTCTTTGTGTGGAGAAAGTCATTTTCGAGTAGCTCAGTGAAGACGGCATAAGAAGAGTCGCTGGTCGAGTTGACTGAGTATCCGCACTCGCAGGCGGCGTTTGCTGCACAAAAACAGGTGGTTAGCGCTCGAGTGTGCCAAAGGGCATAGTGGCGTGAAGGCGGGAGGGAGACTTACAGAAGCGAGAGAGACCGAGGATTAGCAGGGCGGGCAAGGCGCCCCACGAGTTGTGTAGGAGCATGGCGGCGGCGGCAGAGAAATTATATTAGAGCGGATAGTAGGCAGGTTGGTGAAAGCTCTTAAACAGACCAGAAAAAGAAACGAGGGAGGAGTAAAGAACGTGGGTCGGTGAGCAAGGTGGTGTTGGCCGGAACAAAAGTAAAAAGAGCGTGAGGTAGTGGGAAGAGTGGCAGGGCTGGGCAGACAAGACACAAGACGGAGCAGGGTAGGGCAGAGCAAAGAAGGACGGGCAGGGGGGGAAGAGGGCTGATGATGAACTGCTGGGTTGACCTTCGGAAGCTGGAAATGCCCCCGGGCCTTCATGCCCAAAGCAGAAAGCACAAAATGCAGAACACGACTCCAGCCGGCCTGGGCACCGTCGGTTGGTGTCGCTCCCAGGGATCGCCCGTTAATGGGACCGAGATGATAAATGAACAAGACACTCGGCCCACGACGCGCAGTGGGGAACCGGCCATGTCAAGCTCCAATCGGCCACTGGGCCTCGTGCATCGTCGTGTCGCGTGCTGCTGTCACTCTGCACATAACTTGATGCTACTGGCACGCTTGGTGGTATAGCACGAGGATAGCAGACTGCTAGTGCTCGTAGTAGCAGATTGGCCCATCCATGATGCTGCTATGCCCTGCTACGCCCTGCCATACGTCCATTTCCACGTCTTGGTCGACATGGCGTCTGGCCTAGCCTCTCATCTCGTCCTCTGTCTGCCATGCGCCATGCACCCACTCGAATCCTTCCCGCCTCTAGCTGTCCCAGACGCCATCCTTCACACCAAAGCGAGCGAATCACCACGCCACCGACAAGCCCCTGCCGTTCCCTTGGCCCGTCTACACCCACACACTCACTCATCATTGCTGCGCTCCACCCCTTCTGCGGGAAA